TGAATTATACTGACACCGACGCCGGTGCTGCAATTCAGCACTGCTTTTCCACATGTTAACTCCGTTTTTGTCTGAAAATGAATAGGATGGACGATTTGTGAGCGGCCATATTGTTTGTTGAAAGCAGCAAGGTCTTGTGGGACCAACGTCAGAAATTGCCATTAGAGCTGCCATTGATTAAAAACGAACTTTTAAATCTGGCGCATGCATACGTTGAATGGATCTTCTCAAAAAAAATTTACATAGTGGCTTCATGAGTTCTTGTACTGTCAGCATAGACTCTACATATCTAATTGTGGATAGCCGATTATTGTGAGAAGAATACTTTACGATACGATACGATTTGTGATGGCATAGTCGGCAATAAAGTGCTAGACAGAATAAAATACGTCCAGACAATCGCCACTAACGATCACGACTATATAACTTGCAAATGAGAGAGACAGAAACAGTTGTACCATTTATTAATTTAACTAGTACGCGTATACTCAGGGTGTTCCTTAATGCTGTGCAATATTATGATCAATTATTATGATCAATTGTTAAATAAAATATTGTCTGAAAACTCTGTCCATGCAACAATACCAAAAAAACCGGAAAATTAAGATAAATATGGAATATTTGCCAAGAGTAAATATGCAAGTAAAAACATATTTATTTCGTATTTACGATGAAACATCCTCATCATCAGAGCCAAAATTGGAACTGCTACTACCAAAAAACGATCCTTCGTCTACATTAATAACAAGTGATGGTACCGTTATATCAATTTTCCCACAATTCTTTTATTATATTTTCTGTATATAATAATATAATTTCACCGTTTTTGTGACAAATACTGTATAATTTGATGTGAATAAATGTTGTTATTTAAATGAAATGTACATCAAAATTTGCTTAGCTCATATCGTATCTTATAGTTTCCATTTATAATAAATTACATTAGATTATATATTTAATATCTTGAGGAATACGTGTTCATTTGGTATTCAAATTTAAACTTTTTAAATTGAACTTTAGGGAGTTGTAAGTGTAGTTAGAAAAAAATACTAGTAAATCCTTAATAAAAGACCTCTTTATTAATAAGCTGAAAAAATTACAAATTTTTTTCAAATTAATGAGATATGAATTATATATAGATTTCGAAAGTCATTTTCTTTAGTCGGGGACCCTTCTAGGATTTATTTTTATTTAATTTAAATAACTTATCATTATTTTTAATACCTTACAAGTTTAGTCTGAATAAACAATAATTTAGTCTCACAATGTATTTTCTTATTGTTCTTCAATATTTATTTCAATGAAATACTATTCATTTAGACGAAATAAATTTTTATTGGAATAGTGCGAACAGGTGGCTAAAGCTGATGAGCTTCTATTTAGATGAAAAAGATGAAGGGAAGCGATGGTTTAATATAATGAGCTAAGCAAATCCTAAATAATAATTAAAAATAAATAAAATAAATAATTATTTGTTATAAATAAAAATCTTTCATTTGTCATTTCATTTCATTGATACAAGCAAGAATTAGATGATTAAAACAAATTTTGTTCAAGGGAAATAAAATTTTTCCAACTATATATATTCATTAGCATTCGAGTATTTGTTTCGGATTTTTTTTTCAGTATATAAAATAAAGGGGAAAATAAAAATACGCGGTTTTACATTCACGAACTAAATGAAATTATTACGGAATTATCTCTAAAAAAATGCATTTCCTTTATTACTAAACAAAGTCATAGGCAATATATTCAAAACAAAATAAAGTGCATATAATAGAAAAGTTCGTTTAAACAAAAAACGAATATCATTCGAGACAACTTCTTCAGAGATCCTGGGGGCCAAATACACAGGGTGATATCTTGATAGTTCGGGGTACCCATTGAAAAATGAGTCTCTGTGAAAAACAAACTAAATACCTACAACATAATCAAGACGGTGCTAACCCGTTTAATACCGGTTAATCGGAGAATTCAAACAACATTGATCAAATATTTACAAAACAATATTTATAGTAATTACATCACATCATTAATGGGAATTAATCCCCGATATTTGTTATCATTATCCAATATTGTTCGTTTTTAATCAAACTCGACGTAGCAACCGCTTTAGAATAAGAATACCAGCAAAACTTGACAAACATCTAGTTATTAAGTATGCCTTAAGAAACTAATTGCACTCAACAACGAACAGGCAAGTATATTACGTACATATAACGAAACCTAATCAAAATCAAAAGCTAAAGTAATTATGCAATGCAAATTTAAATTACTAAACTACAGTTAAACCTCGGCATGTGTTAAGTCTTAAAGTATAATAAATGTTCCGACTCTGTATAACACGGTAACCCGTCTCGGCAGAAAAGCGATATTGTATAAATTACAAAACTTTAGTGTTATCATAGTCGATTAGGCATAAAGAATAAGGACAAACCATCGAACTTAATATTTTAAATATTGTTTAAGATGTATTTAACGCCGTACGTTGACATATTGCATTTCACGCTTTTGTTGTCTTGCGTTTTGTGGAAATGTGGAGCAATTTGCAACAGATGTTTTAGTGGAAGGGCTACTTTTAAAACTTATTTGACGTAACAGCAGCAACAACAGCAGCAGCAGCAGTTTTGAATCGCTGTAGTACCCTGTATCTGACAATTTTACGAGTTTGAGATTTTCGTTGCATTATAGAGGAGCGCATTGTGTTTATATGGTGCTCCTGCGGACCACTATGGAATTTTGCAAATTTTACTTTTTTTATTATCTGTTTCCTAAAAAACGATATCACTCTTTCTAAGGACAATAAAAAAATATTTTTATTTGAAATAACAGTTTGTCTCCAACCACATTCTTATAGCACTCAATGAGGAATGGAAGGGGAAGAGGAAGAGGAAGGGGAATGGCATTATTGCCAATTATCTTGGCGGTGTGAGACAATGTTGCCAGCTCTGGACATCCCCGATACCGATACACTATCACTAGATGCAGAATAATATTGCTATGGATTTAAAAATATGTTAACTTTAAACATTACATACCAAATGAAAAATAGTTCTTTTTTAACAATAGCGATGTGGTTTATAAGAAATGCATTTTACTCCACCCGATTTTGCTTATTTTTTTGTGAGAAAAATGACTTTTGAAAGTCTAAAGGCGTCTATGGATATCGTGATTACAACGACTGTGATACTGTGAAGTTTGCAAAGAACTGTAGCTATTTTCTCCCATCTTACGCGGGTAAAGTATGTTCATAGATATAAGAAAGTGACTAACTGATACGAATTATTAAGAATGAAATATGGCCGAACAGGTCCGTACTTTGCTTGGAATTTAATTATTTGAGGTTTTGTTAGGAAAGATACTAAACAAAATTTATTTATTTATGTATGTATTTATGATTAAATCTAAAATAAAATTACAAATTATTTTTATTACCTACTTCAATTACTAAAAATTATTCACATAATATATCAGTATCACTATCGCCATCATCGCCTGTTCTAATTATTATTTGTTCTATATTATTTGCAATATGGATATACGATTGTTCTGCTTTTTCTATATGTTTAACAGAATTTGCCTAACTTTGTGGTGGGATGTTAAAAACTTCGGTTTCTATAAATGAGAAAATGTCAGCATCGCTTCTTTTTTTCCTCGCTGAAATGGGATTATTAACAATTTTCCATACAGTTGATGTTGGAATTTTCGTCAATGTGGCCGTTTATTCTAAAGATGCTTGCTTGCTGGCACCACGTTCAATGAGAGTCAATCATCGTTTATAACTTCTTTATTACTTCTGTATTACACACGAAATAAGAATGATTACTAGTAAACTTAAACTAAGTAGTATACCAAACCAAAGAATATTAAACACAGGTAGGTATAAAATTATTTTCCGAATTCCGAAACTTTAAGTAATAGTCTTGTTGCATTGTATGTTAATGACCACCCTTGGATAATCCCATTCAAAAGCAATTGGTCACTTTCTCATATCTATGAATAGACCATACCATAGCAACCATTCGTATTTAGGTAATGTCCCCTAACCCAACATCAATTTTATCAATAATTTATGAGATCTCTTTTGGTTGCATATTCGGGACAACCCCACCACAAAGTACCCGTTAAGAAACGATTTACCCACAACACCCAAACAGATAGAAAAACTGCCACTGGCCTAATTTACCCGTTTCCCAATAGATGTAAAAAACATCTTATCAATTTATTTTTCAAGAAATGAAATCACATGCCACCGCTAAGTGGGCGAAAACTCATCGTGGAGCGGCATCGCCTGCATCGCAGCCATACTCTCTTAACGAGTGAATTATAACCGAACGGTTGCGTTTTATTTTCAAACTAACGACGGTGGAAAACGCGAGAACATCCGAAGAAGTTATCGAGGCATTCGAAATACATGTTTCTGTCCGTAACAATTTCTCAGTACAATGAGTGCTGAGAATAATTCGTGTTGGTTTGGGGTCACTCGATTCAGTTTAATACAGTCGTTGATCTTCGATTACCATTCACGAAATTTTTCCTCTCCCCGACGTCGAGTGTTCATTTAACGCGACGTTTCCCAAACATCGGAAACTCAAACAAACAAAAGCGATAAAGCGCGCCGTCACATCATCACCCGGAGCTCCGTTTATCTCGTCCGAAACCCGAAAGAAAAACATCGATGCACCGAAACCACACACACAAAATAAGAATTTATCATAAAAAGATAATAGTCTGAACAAAAATCTGTCTCAAATACCCTTAATTCCGCCGAAATGAAGCAAAGTTTCGAATCGACCTCGGAATCTGCATTCGTCGATGTCCACTTGCGCGGCGTTACCCGCTCGAAACCACTTTCCGCAACACGGCGCTCGGCGGAAAGCAGTTTCGGCAACGGCGATGGTGAAACGGCGAAGCAGCGACCCCGGTCGCTATCAAACTTTCCTACTGCGAAGCTCGAAAAGGTAGAGTTAACGATAGCGCGCAAGACAGTGCTACACAAGTGCTCGTGGTGGAATAGCACAGAAGCGCGACCAGGCTCTCTTTGCGTCTATTAACACAGTATTTTAAATTTTTTCATAAGCGCCTTCGGAGGTTTGAATGAATCTCGCGCCGCGCATTTTTTTCTCGATTTCATTTTGTTTTCGCGCTCACCGGGACCGCTGGGGAGTGAAGTGTTGACCACCACGGACATAGGTAGTTGGTGCGGAAGTGTTTTTTTTTTGGATTACTGTTTTTGGATTTGCTTTTGTGGCTAGAAAAAAAAAACTCGAAGACCAGGTAAGGAATTTCATATTGCAATTTGTTGGTAGTGGAGGAGGGGCTTTTATGAACTAGTTCTACCGAGCGTTTTCAATTGTCTGGGTTGCGTAAGGCAACCACCATATTTTCTTTGTGCAAGATCCAATAGAGATAAACAAGGTCACTTACATTCTATTCCCAAAGTCGTTTCGAGTAAATTTCTTACGGTGTTTCGTCAAGTCTTTGCCGTAATTTGCTAATTGAAACTGCCGCTTAATTATGTGACGAAGTCGGCGCGGCGTAGAAAAAGTATCTGGCTTATTTGCATCGTAACGACGTCTGTAAATTAAGTTGGTGACTTTATATTTCGGAGCTACGTGAACGTTATTCGATTGGAGAGATCGTAGTCGACAAACATCCGAATCATTTTTTAACGCGGCTCAAGGTAAACATTGGAAATAACCTTATAGTTTAGCTACGTGCAGGTTTTTCCTTGTCCATGTACGTACATAAATTTGTAATTGCGTCAGATCACGGCGATGACGTAGGCGTTGTTGATTTCGGTCCGATCTTGTTTACGATGTCGTATAGCGTATTGAATCGTGCTGAGATTCAACCCGTTGCGTTTAGACACTCAGCAAAGTTCTACATTGGTGGCAGATGGTTGGAAATACCTGCCGCATAAAAATTTAACTCGTGTGGTACTTTACACAATATTAATCTTGATAAGTGGGTAATGGGCGGGCGAAGGAAAGTGAATTTCCCGGAAAATTCTTCCGTAATCGCTTGCGGTAGAATCGAATTTGCCATTATGACCTGAATTTCCCGTTGTGCCAGTCTGGATAAAATATACCTTAGTAAGTACCATTATGGTCTAAGGGGCCATCCATCATCATTCGGGTCAAGTGGATTTCCCTCTTCCCTTGTTACTTGGTCACATTTGTATAATATGCCGTCACTTATTTTTCAAATTCAAATTTGGAAATTGCAAAAACCAAAATGAAACCTGATTAGAGCCTAAGTTTGGAACATGTACCTTGCCGGAGTTTGTGAGTAATCCCCCCCCCCCTCCCAACCATTCTCTTTGGATCCACAACTTCCTTCTTGATGCGTCAAATTTCTCATGGTTTTTCTGAAGGTTATTGCATAGGTACTAAAGCAGGATGACGTTGACCGCGTCAGGGTTATCAGTTTCAATAATTTAAAAACTTATTTACGACAATTATTTTTATTGGGTTAATCCTGTGATTTCACAGATGTTACGGATTCTACAAAAGATTTCATAGATTTGTAAATTTGTAAATTATTTTTCAGATTTCACCGATTTTGAAAAATACTTTTTAGATTTTGTCGACAATTTTTGTAATCCGTCATAATTAAAAATATATTAAGCAAAAATGATTTAACACAATTAGTGGGTATTTTCGATGATAATTCTTAATTTTCTGGATATAAAAAAAAATAAAGCCAAATAGGAAAAAAAATTATGTCCTTATCTCATGCCTGATATCTTATATATCTTAAAAATGCCAAGTGAGTTTGTTGAATTCAACACACATTAGATGAGTGGACAATCCAAAAAATGCAAATGAAGCATATCAAATACTTATTTAGTCACACAAAGAATTTTTGTAGAATAATTTGTTTATTATTTAAAGATGATTTAACTAATGAAAAGTGCCAAAAATTCAGAATAGAATAGAAATAAGGTTTCACGGATTTCACAGATAACAAAGATTTCACAGAGCAGGTACACCAAATTTGCCCCTCGCTTTTAACTAAAAAAAAATGCTTTAATGGTATAAGGACATGATCCTACTACAAAATACATTGGAAAACACTGATTCTGAAATTGACGTAGGAATTCTTTCCTACTTCCTAAAGTAAACAAATATAAAATGAGCCAGCCATTTATTACTAATTGAGCGGTTAACAAACTATTTAAATATGTATTAAAATGCAAAGTGATACCATGATTAATGTGTTAGTCTTATTCTTTAAATTATAATCTAAATGACAAAATTTGGGAAATGATATGACCGACCAACACGCAATAACCAAATCGCGAGCGAAATAGTGATCCTCTCAAACTAATCGAAAACCTAACCCTTAGTGGGGACACTAAAATGAACTAGGGTTTGAAATTTGAACAACAATAACTAACCAAAACGGTAATTGTTTTGTCGTTATGGTAAAGTTAACGTGTACTACATGGGTATTGTTGTAATCGTTTGCCAATAAGTTGAGCGTTTCATTGTCAGATTGATTAGATAACAGTATCAGCGCTACCAACGCGGATAGCGCGCGATAGTCAACAGTTTGGAAATAAGCGACGCTTCAAATGTGCTTAAAACTTTCAGTTGTACATCGAAGGTGTCATTTAATATTAAGCCGCGGTCTTTGTGTAGAGCAGTAAGTATAACCAGGAGGGTAGCACCCTTACCGTGTACTTTTAATTCATAGTTAGCGGAATTTGATTGGAGTAATTACCGAACAACGACAAATCGCTGACGAAAACCTCGGACACTTGACAACGTCGCGCCGCAGCTGTTCGTCGACTTCTGCGTGACGTCACGCAAACAGGTACTCGACTGCAGTAAGTGAGAGACGGGTGGCACGGCCAAGTCGGTGTAGGTAATCGAGGACCCAAGGATCTGCATCGTGGTAGTAACTGACCAGCAGCGTTCCGCTTGTTTTTTGATCAAAGATATAATGTAAACTAGGTAAATCGTACCTCTACATTAAAGAGCCGTTAACTGGCGAGGTTTTTGCACCAAATCACTTCGCTTGACGCGCGCCGCTGTTCTGGCAAATTCGTGCGACATAAAGGCCTATCCGCCATGATTTATTTATGGAATCGTAGACAACGACTAGGATATCGGACACTTGCGTGCCTCAAAGTCCTATATAATCGCGAAATTGGAATCACAAAACAAGTTTTTAAGTCGTAAAACTTCCCAAGTTTGCGCTAAACATCCGAAGATATAGGCGATTGCTCAAGGCTCAACCTTAAATATTAAATACCACCTATTTTTAATTTGTTAATTAGTTTTGATTTAAAAAAAAAACATGAATTATTTGTTTTTTTTATTTTAATTCATTTTTTTAAACTAATCTACTCAACTAATATTTCCGGTTTCAATTGTATCAACATTTATTAATAATTATTAAAAGTCTTAACTAAATGATATGAAAAAATTTACATTATTCGATATAAAATAACCAAGTTAACATTATCTGATCTGCCATCTTAAAAATATGTCATCAGCTATGTGAAATCCGTGAAATCTTTGTAATCTTTGAAAATCGTGAAATTATTACATGTTTCTAAAATTTTGAGTCTTGGCAGTTTTCATTAGTTAAAATCATCTTTAGATAGTAAACAAATTAATGTAAAAAAATTCTACAAATAATGAAATAAATCTTTTAGGTTATTTGTGGATTGCGTATATTGTGTGGCGTTTTGCATCTTATTTTTATGCTTTGCTTTATTTGTAAATTTTTTAGACACAAAAAATTAGTAATTACCGAAATTCATAGCTAAATATATTAAACATGGGAAAATATTATTTGTACGTATATCCTTTTTAAAAATTTATGGTTGTATTTTTTATATATCATTTTTACTCAAAATGGGTGTAGTCTGGAAAATTATCTAGAAATCTGTGAAATCATTGTAGAATCGGTGAAATTTGATATGGGAGAAATCTTTGTTAAATCTGTGAACTTTTGCTTGAAATCTGTGGAATCACATATTTGTGTGAAATCTGGCCTTCAATTTTATTATTAAACATTTAGTATATTAGTATTTTTAAATATAAAAGTATAAGTATGAAATGTATGTTTTAAAATTTAACATATTCATTAATTAATTCATGAGTTTTACAGTGACTTAAAACTTTTTTGGAAAGAGGTTTTAAGATAATGTGTTTTATATATGTAAATTAAATTTTAATTTAATAGTTTCTTAATAACGACGCAATACAAAAGTTTTCCATGTATTGTAAAAATTATTTTTCGAAGTTAATTTAGAGTCAGTAAAATCTTTGTGAAATGCGTGAAATCTGCGGAACTTTGTGTACCAAATTTGGATTGTAATGTTCCAATACCCTAGTACTCTATATGACGCTTAGAAGTATTATTAATAAACATTTTATTATTAGGATAAATGGACGTCCAAAAAGCAAAAAAAATAGCTCGACGAAAAAAATGAACGTTTCGTCGATAAAATATAATCAAAACGTATTTTCGCTGTCGTTCGAGTGTTAGGGCCGAGCGAGTGCGTATTATAATGAATATAAACTGGTTCCGAGAGACGAGGAAATCTGAACTTTGAGGGGGTTTAAGGATCGATATATGGAAGAGAAAGAACATTGTAGGATTAGGTTACAGTTTCGTGGCCCGAGGAGGGTTCGCCAACTTTATAAAGGCTTGTATGTATCTGAAAACCGACATCGATCTATATTAATACCTGGTTCGGCGTCGGGCGATAATGAACACGCGTTCTTTGGCGATGTAGACAAATTTGCCACGTCTTTCGTTTTTGGCGAACGTTATACGCTTTGAGAACTTTTCGAAACTTTCTAACGTTGAGTTTTTATGTAGAAGTGATTTTGTAATTCCAATACTTCGAATTGAATCTCTTTTAAATTTTCACACCATTAAAAAATAAACATTGAGGTAAATCACCATCCAAAGGCGGTACACCAAATTTCACCCAAAATTTGACAAATTTCATAATTTTTTAGGGCAAAACTATCAAACTTAAAACTATTAAAGTAAAAAAATACTTCAGACGTTTGTTCACAAAGTGGAAAAGGGTATCGTCCGTGTTGGCTCTGCTATTTTTTTCTCTCTTGTCAAATTTGAATAATTACATTCCGAGGTAAATTTCTTCATGAAAAAGAAAAAAAAAGTGAGAAACTAAATTTTCGAGAAAAAAAAAAGAAAAATATATTTATGTTCGTTTTGAAAATGTATGCCATTTCTAAATCTATTTATTAATTTAACACTGACTGTCACTTTTTGAAAAAAAAGTT